TGCATGACGGATGTGGGACTAAAAATATCGTTCGAGTCAATGCGAATTGCAAATAGATTCTTGCATGTGTGTGTTTGTGACGTTGAATAAAATACATTACTCGAAACAATCAGGGGATTACTTAATCAATAGCCTGCATTACATACGAGATTTAAAATACCGAATGATTCTCTTTTGATGTTCAGTCATCTGAATAAGAGATATTCATATTTACAAACGCGATACGGTTATTAGCTGCTTTATTTTCATTTTTCAAGCGGACCGCAGAATTATTTAACTACAATTATCTGATAATATTCAATTGTCCATGTAAAATATATTCCTACGCATAAATGCCGATACCGTTGGTTACTTTTCCTTTATTTCCAAAACCAAATCAGGCTGTAGAATTATTCGGCAATATTGTCCATTCATTACGATCCCTATTGTCTCGAGTAGCGTATAATGCGCGCAGAAATTGCGCCAGCGCACGCCGAGCTTGAGGTATCCTCGCTCGCGTGCCTTTAAATATCGCGACCGCGGTTATCAATATACGCGTTTTTACCTGCGCTGCTAACAAAGAAAGCTTAAATTCTCATTTCGCCAAAGTATCGCGAACGTAAGCTTCGTCGTGACGAAACTATCGTGCGTGAAAACTTTCTCTCTCTCTCTCTCTCTCTCTCTCTCTCTCTCTCTCTCTCTCTTCGCGCTCCCTTGGGGTGACCGGTTTCTGATTGTTTAATCTCTCCTCATATGCATTCGCGAATATTTCACTCGTAGATATTGATACTCCTGCATTTTCGCGACTTTTCAGACGCGATCGCGAAAAGTGCCGTAAAAATCCGTTGGACGAGTCGATAAATTTTCACACGGCTCTCGCTCCTCGCCGATCGAGTTTATTTAGAATCCGTTTCGCAGCGCATAAAAAGTTTCCACCGATGTTGACGTAAAACGTTCGTTAATTGACGCAAATATCGCCGCTCTAATACAAATGTCGACCGCGTCGCGGAAGTGTTGCGAAAGTGTAGCAATCAACGTGGGACGCACTGCAAGATGGATGCTGCGCGACATGGAGAGCGGCAGCGGACATGGGCGGACATTGGTGGATCTGGTTGGATGTAACGGGACATCATCAATATCATCATCGGTGAGCGTTTGACTCAATGCTCGCAGAGAGCTCTTTTATTATTACATTGTGCATGCCGCAAATTTGCATTGACTTTTGTCGAACGAGAAATATAATGAATTATTGCCATATATTATGGCCATATATTGTTGCCATATATTGTTGCCATATATTGTTGCCATATATTGTTGCCGTATATTGTTGCCGTATATTGTTGCCATATATTATTGCCACATATTGCCATGTATTATCGCCATATATTATGACCACTTGAAATCGCGCAAGCAATCAAGAAAATTGTGAATTTGCCGATAATCGCAAAGGCGCGCGGCAGACGTCACGGACGGATGCCAGCAGCCCATCTCAGGGCTGCCCGATAACAATGCTGTTGCTGCAATTTAACTTTAAACCACAGCGGCCTCGGGTCGCAGGAAACTTTCTATCACGGATTAACCCTTCGAGCGGAATGTTTCTGAGAAGCGCTCTTAACATAAACACTGGTTATAAGCGAACTTGCCTTGTTAGGGCCTCGTCGCGGTATCGTTGTCGCGGAAAATAAGGAAGAAAGAAATTACACATCCGCACCGTTGTGAAAAGAGGGGCGATGGGCGTCCCCTGTCGCCGCACGGTAGCAGCAATCACCCCCTCCACCCGGCCACGAATACGAATGAATCGACCGTAGATATTCGTCACCTGGCTAGCTCCGCTCACCAGAGAAATTTCTCTGGTACGCTAAATTCCGTAAAGCCATCAGTCTTTATAATATCTCGTCAGTGCATAAGGTTTATATTACCTATATATACATATTTTGAAACATTTTCTTTGGATATTATATCAAACGGATTTTGCGTGTCACGTAATATCCCTCGGACACGGACATTATTATTTTGATCATTTTGATTTCTTTGATATTCATTAAGAATTATCCAGAACGCAACTGCCATGTTGAACGATTCAATTGTTGTGTGAAATGTTTCGATTTTCACACATTCATATAAAATTTTTCATTTTTCACTAATTCACAAAAGTCTTTCACTTTTCACTAGTTCACGCTAGGGAAAAGATTCATTGATCGCTGCCCTGAACAGTTGCAACGCTTTTCCAGTCATCTATGTCGGCGCGCTCCTACTCCTCAGATTTCTGTCATTAATAACTCGATAATTATTGCGAATCTCGCAAAACGGTATGGGACTTTTATATTTGTCTCAAACCAATCTATCCTCACACTTCGGGTTGGCAGCTAATTACCAGACACTTCGTATGATCTTCATGATATTAATCATATACAATGTCAATTCTTTTTTTTGCACATGTTAACATGTTAATTCATGTTATAAACGCGTAACAATGTACGAGACTGTGTTTGTCAAGTACGCTATTATGGTTGTAGCACGGACATAAACCGTCTGAAAGTGGATGTAGCACGGACTGCCACCACATGTAGATTTTACCGCCGAAACCTGAAAGTGAATGTAGTATCGTAGTTCCCCTCTCAAAATGGATGCAGATGGCGCCCTTTCCCAGTGCGGAAAGTCGGTGTCACTGAAAATGCCGTGTTGGCACGTCCCTCTCTGGGTTAGAGTGAGAAAAAATATAGTGATCTTATTTTAACTTATTGCACCAATTCAGCAGTGCAGCTAAAAAGAACAGACCACTAGTTCTTGGGTCGAACGTGCATGAATAAGCTTTATGATTGGCTAGTAGAGCTTTGTGACGTCATTGACCCTGGGTGGGTTAAAACCCATGTTACTGGAATACGCCATTTGTTTACAAGCAATCAGCTGCCTGCTGCGGACCCAACATATTGATTATGAGAATTATGGAGGGGGTATACACACCGATTGCTTCTCTATTTAGGGCTACTATTGTACATACTACTTATACTAATTTTCTTTTCTTCTCTTTTCCAATAAGTTTCAACTCTATGTTTTTTCTCAAGTTCTGAAAATATATTTCAGTTCTGTGAAAAAAACAATCTTTTTACATGAAATATTTCTGTTTATAATAATATATAATTTTTGTAAACATTTATTATAAATTAACATCCAAAAGTGTGGAAATATGAAAAAATTATATCAATATTATTATTTTATATATGAATTATATAAGTTTTGTTATATATTTAATATTTATATATTTATATGTTTAAGTTTTATAAATTTGATAATTAAAAGCAGTTTTCATATTATTGAACAAAATATATGTATATGATTTAATTTTTGCTTTTTAATCAAAGAATGAATGAAAGAATTTGTGTGTAACGATAATAATCAACAAAAATATATCCTATTGAAATACTGAATGCCTTTTATTATACATACATATGCTTTTCCGTAACAATCGGCAAATCAATCATAATTGGATGGTCAAAGTTTTTAGATATCAATAGTTTAATTTAATTGTGATTATAATTGCATCTATATTCATACATTTTTCCAATCAATATTAGCAAGAGAGTTACCATTGCACAATTTTAGAAGTATTAGAATATATAAAAGAGTTATATAAATTCTAACATAAAAACAATCAGGCACCATATTGACAAGTTATCACTAATCAATATTTGATAACACTAACAGGATTAAGCTTCATATATACTGCAGAAGTAAAAAATAGATATGAATGAGAGACGTGAAAAAGTTATCATTATTTATATAGTTTCCATATAATCATACATTCTCGTACAACCATAATATACAAATATTTTACAAGTAAATTTGCATTAAGAAAGTTATCATTACCATTATATATATATATATATATATATAATTGTTTTATATATATATCTTTTTTATATTTATATATATAAAACAATTAATATGTTTAAATCTGTCTCACACAATACATTTCCACTTATGTTTTGAATTTGTAATTTTATCAGATATTTTACCAGTTATTGTGAGTATACATATATATTGCAAAATATTGCAAAAAAATATTGCAAAGAAAAAAGAGATATTATTCATAAATAGATTTGTAAAGATATATATAAATCAGTACTTTCAAAATATCATTAATTTGGTTAATTTAATTAATAATAAATCGAGCAATATCGTTACAAAATTCTTTACGAAATTTTGCGTTATTGTAGGGTTTGCTTTTTCTTTCTTTTTCTTTCTCTCTCTCTCTCTCTTTCTCTGAGAAAAAAATTTACATTTTATAGATATTTTTTTTAACAAGGAAAAGAATAAAGAAATATATATGTATATTTCTATATATATATATATACACACACACACACACACACACACAACATACACACATCACATGGAGAGAATGACATTATTTTCATTATCAATACAAGATAATGAAAAAGAAATAAATAAGTATATAAAAATTTTTAATAATATTTGAAAATGTATCTTCAATTAACGAAATATAATATATTACATATTCTTTGTCTTTGGAAGTATTTCTTAACAAGTAAATTATATTATTTTTATATTATCATTAACAACATATAATAAATTGAAGAGCTTATATGTACATATATACATGTATTGATTTCTGAGAAATATTAAAACTATATTTTGAAAAAATAAGGATTTTACAATGAGGATTATATAAATTACAAAATAACGTATAACAAATGTGAAGTTTTAAACATTAATTTATTAATTAAAAATTTTTAAGCTCTTCAACTTATTTCGACTTTTCTTGTAATATATATACATATATATATACATATATATACACACACGTACACATACACACACACATATATACATATATATACAATCTTTATATAATATGAAAAAATATTATAAGTAAAATTACATATAATATGTACATGTATATACATGTATACATAATACATACATTGTGTGTGTATATATATACATATATTTTGTGATTACACCATCACATAAAAATAAATATTTGGATTAATTATATCTCGTTTTTAATATATTATTTTTTCGTATAAACAGATCTGACAGTCAACATTCTTAAAAGTCTTATATAAAAGTAAAAAAAAGAACGTAATGAACATACCAGTTAATGTTCTTTCTTTGTGCTATTTACGCTACCGTTCATACTACGTCGCGTTTTTCGGAAGCAAATTAATGAGCGTAGACAATTCCAAGCATTCTTTCCTGTGCCTGCTAAGTTACAAATGATCAAAGACGGCGATTCGTACTCGTTAGGAACAATGCCATCGACGGATGCCTCGAAAAAACTGAACAACGGAAACCAAATTCTGGTTCTAATTGAATCACGTTGCATCAGCGCTTGATTATTCGCCAATGTATGATAATAAAGAAACAATCGTGAAGTAATGTAAAACGCCACAAAAACGTCAATAGAATAATGTTCATGCGCTGCCAAGATGAAAAAGATACCGAACATATTGAGCATCCATGTGAAAGTATGTAAAAAGTACAAATGTCTCGGAGTATCTGTAATAAATAGGATAATAAATAATTAAATTGATACTTTAATCATATACATACACACACACACACACACACACATATATATACGTAATTTGTCATTCCTGATGTCATAACACATTGTACATTACTAAAGTATAATCAGGAGTTTTACAAATGAAATAATAAAGAAAACATTATTACTTACATTCTGTGATGAAGAAATTAAGCATAGTTAAAGCTACTGTATGTCCACTGAACATGTAATCCCCGCAGGTTCTCACACCTTGAATAGACATACCAGCGCCCCGCCATATAACATATGCCATTGCTATTTTATTGTACAATTCGACATATGCGGAGCTAAAACAATATATTAAATATATACATACACTTAAAAATAAATGATAGATTACAATGTCGTTGGTAGCTCACCCTGTCCAATCTTCATCTGGAACTTTCCGCGGTTGGCATTGTAAGTGCGCACCTGGTACTGATAAGGAAGTAATGAGCATTGTCACACATCTCAATAGGAAGACTGTACCTGACAGTGCAAAGAACCTCCGTAACAAAATGAATCTGTTGAGCAATATAATAGACAATTCCCAGTAACAAAACTGCATATATTGTTTTCTTAAAATCATATAAAAAAATATCATAGATGTTTTATCTATTCTCTTACCTATATTTATGAAATATAAGCACAACAAGCCATATCGCGAAAAGTAGAGTTCCGATAACTTCGCATATATCGAATGCCCAAGGGATATGAGGTACATTGTCCAAAAATATATCTGGCAATGGAGGATACTTTTTCATATCAGGCACTCTATCGTGAACGATGACCATTACAAAGGCGGTTATCCATGTGACAATAAACAAATATCCTAAACTAATAACAGTCTTCCAGATTTCTGGAGGCAGATGAGAAGCATGCCCATCCTCCGATACAGAAGCCGAATAAAATTCATGTTCTATAGATGCTTCATTATTTGTGCCGGTACTAGGCATCTGATAATTATTACAAATATATTATTATAAATTACTACAAATACATATGATGTTATACTTTATTGTGTCTACTAGAACTGCAACATGAAAATTCTTTTGGTATATTGTATGTTGTATATTTACCTCATGTTTATTCTGATGATGGGTGTAAAAATTTGATGATGAAAACAAATCCATATATCCTAAATCAAATAAAACAGCAACATTGTCTCTTTGCAATTGTTTGATTGCAAGATATATCTTTTTTATAGCACCAATCTTGTCTATGTTCATAATTTGGGATTTCAAGTCTTCTTCTTTCAACATCAGAAGCACTTTTCCATCAATTTCATGTTTAAAGAATAGATTTGCATATTCCTCATAGCCAGTTTCTTTAAGCCATTGTACTACATCGGAAGGTGTCCATTCGACTATATTCTTCAATGGCATGTTTGCATTATCAAAATGCATCTATCCTGTATAAAAAATATCCAAATGATATACATATATATATATATATCATTATCATCTTTATCATGAAATTACTTTTTGATGTCACAAGTGGCCACAAGAGACATAACAATGGATGACACAAAAATTTTTTTCTAAAGTTTTAGACCTTATAAAATCTATCCTAAATAATATTTTGGAATCTTCGTCTTATTTTTTATTCTGCATCATTAATATACATGGTTAGTGATAGGTTAGTGATAGGTTCTTTTCAATTACTTATTAGAATTGTCACATATAAGTATGTAAAAAAAGCAAGCCTAGGACTCGAATACAAAGAGAAAAATATTTAAAACAAAGCGCGAGAACACGAAATTAATCCACCGATAAGACACAATTCACATTTATTATTATCATTTTCATACCTGAAAATAATAATAAAATATATCTCGATGAGCAATTGATGCAGGAAAAAACATTTTATTATAAAATTATCTATTCTGTTACGAAGTAAACAACGTGCATCGATCAGTGAGTGAAAAAAAATGATGTGTTTGGACTTAACCTTGCGCTTAATAAATTAATCGCTTACCTCGAGAAAAGAACTACGTTACGAAATCATCTACGGAGATGTCTTATTGTAACATTCCTCTGTACTTAATGTGCATGCTGTACCATGTTGTTATTACAGTGAATCACTCTTCGGCAATACCTCGTGTATGAAGTTTAACGTACACGAGGCCATCGACCGCAATACAGCGCGAACTGCGAATTGAGATCTACTACTAATCACTGACTCTGTGTTTAGCGGCCTTATTCAACAGTGCAAAAGATATCACGGTGCAGTACCGCGCGCATAAGACAAAAATATTATTACAGCGAAATTCCCTCCATGCTGTTCATCAAGACCATTTTCGAAATGTCTCGATATTGCACAAAATATATGAAACCGATGATAACGTTATCGCAGATTATATACATGCTTAGGACACTTATACAAATAATACTCTACACGATTCTCTACACGGTAAAAAACGAGAAAATACTTCTCTTTTGTATTTTTTCGTAAACAAATAACATAGTTTTAGTTTATATCTTCTAGATTTCCTATGTAAATACGTACATTACAGTACGTTATAAATTTTATCGATCAATTACGTTAGTACGTTTTATAAAAATAAAGAAACTTTGTCTTGCGGGGAATACTTTTAAATTTATAATGAATTTATTTATTTTAAAATAAAAATTATTAAAGATTATATATTAGTAAAGTATATAATAGTATAATAAAAGTATATGTTAGTATAATAATGCCGAATAAAAGATAATAAAGTATTTAAATATTTTATATATTTTAAGATATTAAATTAAAAGAAAAATTACTATATACACACGTTTTTACTTAATTATGTTAACACACGTATAAAAAAATATGACTAATAAAAACATTTTATAATATATAACCAGAATTATTATAGATATGAAATTACAGTAGAAAACTGTAGGGTGGACTATGATGGAGACTAAAATATATAATTTTATAAGCAAATATATATGTATATGTATAAATAAACATGTTTTTATTAGATATTTTAGAACATTTAACAGACTTGTGTTTGTTTGAAATAGCACGTGTGTATCTTAACTAGTACAGGCACATTTTAGTATAAAAGAATAAATTATCAACGATGACATGAATGATATTAAATATCAATATGTATAAAAGCTCTTGCGCATTACTATACTATAATCCATTAATACTTAAATTATGGAAGATCATTATCATGTACATATTAAGTTTCTTTTAGTTCGCTACATTTCAATTTCAAAGCTGCATTTTCTTGCTTCAAGAATTCGATCTCTGCTAATTTACTTTGTAAATCCTCATTTTGTGTTTTCAAAGCAATTAATTCTTGCTGCAATCGCTCATTCTCCTCAATCAACATTTTTACTCTGGTAGAATCCTTACTGGGATGCATTTCTTTGATCAGATCATCTGTTTGATTCAAGAGATTTTTTATCAAGGTTGCTTGAGAGTTTATATGTAATTCCTGCATAGTACGCAGAATCTTTGTGCTCTCCTGCTTGGTATATGTGCTGATCAATTCTTTAATAGCACTAAGTAGAACAACTGGATCTTGGTCCTGTATATTATAACTAAATTTTTTCAAATTAGCTGGCAGTACTTTTTCTTTCTCCTTAGCTGAATCTTGAGGACCACTTTCTTTGGAAGAATCTGAAGGCCGACTATTGTTCTTACTAGAAACATCTGAGGAATGATTGTTGGAAGAATCTGAGGAATGTTTGTTTTCTTTAGTAGAAGTACCAAGGGATTGAGTGGTTTCTTTATGTGATCCTGAGCGTCGATTACGTTCTTTGTTCACAATTTTATTTTCAGATAGTTTGGCATGATTTGTCTCTTGTAATTTCGCTTCTTTTGCTTCTTGTAATTTCGTTCTAGTGTCTCCGCTAATACTGTAATGTTGCTTATTGTCCATTTTTATTTTAACATCCAAATTTTTTGTCCTGCTTTCTGCCTTTTCATTTTTCTCTGGTACTTTCATTCTTACAGAATGTTTCTTCATATTTTGATCAGGTTGTTTCTTACAGTCTTTTATGGGAAAGTCTCTACTACTTGTGATCTTTATGTCAGGTATATTTGGAACTGCTGTAGTAGGACGTGTTTTCTGTGACCGCATAATATTTTCCCTCTCATCTTGTTCAGAAAACTTAAGTAGTGGAGATGAAGTAGCATGTCTGGTAGTTATATAGCAATCTGCTTGCTGATACGTTTTCTTTGATTCTTCTGGTATTAATCCTAAATCCTCCAAAAAGGAATCATTCATGTTGGAAATATGTATGTAGATGTACGTATATATTTATCCTGTGATATATACAATGAATGTATCAAGGTAACTGTAAATATGAAAGTATACATAAATGTTAATAATGCATTTTTGACTAATTCATATGATTTACATAAGATATAGAAATTATTAACGGAAAAACGCGACACGGTATCTTATTATTAAATCATATTAATAAAAGTGTATTATGCTAACCTTATCGTGATTGTCAACGAATTTGAGCGCGGAAACTTACAGCATATCACACGCAGTTAGCTTATTCAGCTGATAGTCTATGTTCTACGGGGAGGCGATGAAACGGTCTGGTTCTAATGTATGTACATCGAATTTGTGTTCTTTTTCGAAGAACTTTCTGAACTGGTGCATAATGATGCAATAAGTAACATTATTGGCGACACTGCGCGTAGATCAGAATTATATTGTCCTATCGTTGGCTACTCTCAAACTCAGTACGATATATCTCGTGCAGATGACAGTGCATGTCACGTTTTGGTTCAAATGCTGACCGGACTAGATCAGGTAATGATGCAAAAATAATCGCGTTGAGAAATTAAAAGGAGAATACGAACACATAATAAGTGTTCTAAAAATTTGGCTTTCCCACAAGATCGAAAAATTGTGCTTTTGTCTTAAAAATATCGCTAAAATCTTGAATATAGAAACCGTCCCAAACATTTCTTGTATTTCGAATTCAAAAGTAGCGCCAATTAAACAAAGAAATAAATCTGTGATTGGTCAATTCAAGTTTCTCGAGTACTTCAATCGCAGCGTTGCTCATAACAAAAAACGATCAGTTATGGCGCGGGTGCGGGATAATGTTGCGTACGGAAATTATTGCCCATAATTCTTGTGATTTTGGCTCGCCCTAGCTGAGTCTCGCGTCTCAATCATTGCTACCGGGAGTGCCGAAAGTGAAATTCGCGTGTATGTTACAGTAGAATATTGTTCAGTAGCTGTGGAGTGAGTCGTGAAAGTGCCGAGTAAAGTTTTGTCCGTTCGCTGCGTAACGGCATTTCGGGTATCGTGTTGCTGAGATTCGCGTTTCCAATTCACCGATTGAGTCGAAATTTGTGAATTATCGTTAGATATCAATCTCTAACGCGTGTATATCGTTCAATATCTACTGGAAGTGGTCATTGTTCGTCGGGAGTGCCGAGTGAAGTTTCGTGCGTCGTCGCTTAATAGCGGCTCGGAATTCAAATCGCTGCTCTTTACGTTTTCAGTTTTTCGAAAGAAAATCTCGCACGTGAAATATCGTCGGGAGTGTCGGAAGTTAAGCTCTGTACGTGGTTAAAGTTTGTGAAAAAGTATTTAAGTGAAAAGTGAGTTGTGTGAATTAAGTGAATTCAGTGAAAAGTGATTAAGTGTTGTGATAAAGGCCTGTAATTGTGCAAAGTGAAATTTTGTGGTTAACTTGTGCTGCAAAAAAAATATTGTTAAGTGCCTTTGGATATATTTTGCGAACAGGAACTTCAGAAATCATTAAGGGGTAACATTATTTTATATTCATCGTATTATAAAAATTCAAAATTCTCATCACGGTATCGCGTTCTTTCGACTTGCCAAGGGAAAGATCACTTCGTAGAATTAACCCTGTGCATGTAGGAAATAGTCGATTCCTAGAACGGACTCCAAAGATAACGATCTCCGTTGCGTGAGTCACATGTCTCTCGATAGAGGGTGCTATGTATGTATGCACGCTTAGACGCAATAGGTTAGGCATGTTTAGGCGACGATACATTGCATTAGGGATGGGCGATGTTCGAAAATACATCGATGTTTAAAATATCGAATAACAAAAAAAAATTCAAATGATATCAATTATTTTCTAAAAAAGAAAATCGATTAATCGACTAAATTTGCAAAGTAAACATTTAAATTGGTTAGCGGCAGATTAAATATTGCTAGGGATGCGTTCTGAAACATCACTCGGATGCTCTCCTTGCATGTTGGATGCGTTTTTAAATTCGCAACAGATGTAGCTGACATTCAAGGCTGCATTCGAGGAGACGCTATTTAATGCTAAAAGCGTGCTCTGTCCTTGTTCAACTTGCAATAAGTAACAAAGACAGAGCATGCTCATAGTGCTAAATAGTGTCTCCCCGAATGCAGCCCAAATCTTATCTTTCACTGAATGTTAAATAAGAAGGATTGAATGACACCCGCGGTATTCTCAGTATTATTAGAAATCCTCCTAAAAAATCTTGCACACTGGACACGGCTAGCAACATGCTATAAGCGATGTCTAAGAAGAGATCTGTTTTAAGTAAAAAGAGCTTTCATTTCTTCTTTAAAACAGAACTCGGTAATTATAGGGGATGCACATTCAATGACTTTGATCTTGACATATGTTGTCAAGATCATCATCCTGAATAATGCGCAAAAGGTTTTAGGTAGTGCTCGTTGTTTGTTAAAAAGTTACCAACTAAAGAAATTCAACAAAATAAACATAATTTGTATTCATTGTTTGTAATAAACAATGACCGCCAATTTAAACATTTTGAATGTTACTCAGAACCATCAAAACGAATTGTCAATATGTTCGTTTATAAATATATAAATTTTGGCACTTAAATCTCTTGCCATTTGATAACTTGATAAGTATGTCGTATACTAAAATTATAGATTCCGAAATTACTAGCAAAGACCTCTACACAAGATTTGGTAATTAAATCTTTCACTTTACTAAATTAATGATTCTACGATATATTAAAAAATAACAGATTCTGAAAAGAATAGCAAAGATTTCTACACAAGGTTTGCATTTAAGTAATTTATTTGTGCCAAACCTTACGTAGGTCTTTGCTAATCTTTTCAGAATCTGCTATTTTAGTATATTGTAGACTTATTAATTTAGTAAGGCGAAAGATCGTATTTCAAAAATTTGTTTTGTATCTTAAATAATTATGCTGTTAAATCTCTTCTCTGTTCACATATGTGTAAAGTTTATCGTACCTAAATGTACATAGTATTAAACAATTACACTCGATTCATGAAACTTATTATGTTAATAACTTTTTAACACACAACGAGCACCACCTAAAATCTTTTGCACAATACTCGGAGTGATGACCTTGACAATATATCTTAAGATCAAAGTCATTGAAGGTGCATTGAAGTGCCTATATTGCATAATTACTCAGAAGTTTTATTAGATTTCGCTTATTGTTCATCGCTAATTGCGGCAATATGCGAGGCTTTTAATTCGGCATCTCGTTGGATCTTTTCCACGTGATAAGAGAATTAATTTTGGGAAGATAAATATTCTTTTTGGGCCATTCGGCAACATTCCGAAATTTAAAATTAAAATCGGACGGACAACCCTATTATCCTTGACGGCCCAACAGATATAGCAAACATTAAGCATTAAGAAATTATCCAATCACAACCTACTTTTACAAGAATAATTGACTATGGTTGGCCAATTTCTTAAGACTTAAAATTTACTATACCTGTTACAGATAGCTGCGGTTCACGAGGATCTTTCGTATTTTGGGTCTAAATTAAAAATGTACCATTCATATTTCGATTATTAATATTTCTTGAGAAGTCATTTCCGCGCCTGTCACTTTTCCATCTTTTGTGGCCTCCAACTCCGAAACCGTAATCATAGTTCTATGCAGTTGACGAGGATCTTTCTTATTTTGGATCTAAATTAAAACCTACATATTTTGATTATTAAAAATTCGTCACAGGTCATTTTCGAGCCTGTCACTTTTCCATGTTTCGTGGCTTATAAATCCGAAACGTATAATCACAGCTCGATGCGGTTTGCCAGGATCTTTCTTATTTTGGGTCTAGATTAAAACCTTATTATGCATATTTCCATATTTAATATTTCATTTTCATATCTGTCATTTTTCCATCTTTCGTGGCTTATATTTTAGAAAAGTGTGATCTCAGCTCGATGCGGTTTGCACGGATCAATCTTATTTCGAACCTAGATTAACGTCTTACAGCAAATAATTTTGTATCTTATATCCGGTGACACGTTATTTTCGCATCGGTCGGTCTTGAACTTTTCGCTTTAATTTCTCGAAAACGAATACCCGCACCTTGTTGTAATTTGTGAGGATCTTTCTTATTTTGGGTCTAGATTAAAAACTTATTATGCATATTTCCATATTTAATATTTCATTTCGGTACCTATCACTTTTCCATCTTTCGTGGCTTATATCTCGGAAACGTGTAATCACAGATCGATGCGGTTTGCATGAATCAATCTTATTTCGAACCTATATTAATATCTTATGGCAAATAATTTTGCAGCTTATATCCGGTGACACGTTCTTTTCGCATCGATCGGCGTTGAACTTTTTGGTTTAATTTCTCTGTAACTAATAGGCACAGCTTGTTGTAATTTGTGAGGATCTTTCTTATTTTGGGTCTAGATTAAAACCGTATTATTCATATTTCTTTATTTAATATTTCATTTCGGTGTCTGTCACTTTTCCATCTTTCGTGGCTTATATCTCCGAAACGCGTAATCACAGCTCGTTGCAGTTTGCACGGATTAATCTTATTTTGAACCTGGATTAATGTCTTATAGGCTGTGTTCCGAAGTTCACTGCCAGTACTGAAAGTACATGGTTTGTGTTACGTATACTATAGAATTTCAGTGATGGCAGTGAATATCGGAACACAACCATAGTAAGCAATTTTGCAGCTTATGTCCGGTGGCTAGTCATTTTGGAATCGATCGATCTTGACTTCTCGGCTTCAGTTTTTTGATAACCAGTATACTCGAATCATCCTTATGTCGAACTTAAATTAATGTTTTTACAAATTATGTAATTTTCTTCGAAAAAGTTCGAACCTCGTCACAGGACCATTTTATTGCATTCGTTGGTATTTATCATCGTATGTGTTTGATGTCATCTTTATCATTCAAATGTTACTATGAAAGGATAATATTGACAAAGAGGATTCGTCATCTATATTAGCGATTTGTGTTTAATAGTTTCGTCACTCGTTAATTTTACTCGGTATGTAATAAATTAATAATAGTAATGATAATATTTTAAAATTCAGTAAATTGAAATTTATAGTAATATCGAAATGAGAAAAGCACTCGATATATAAAGTAATCGATTTTAATAATATCGAAAAGGTAATCGATTTTTTAGACATGAATGCGATTCATTGATCATACGTTATCTATTTTTAATTGTATCTATTCAAACCTGACTATACTGTGTTACATATTTATACATATGTCGAAAGTTAAGAGGATTATCTTATTTGGGATTTCCATAAGGTATTTTAGTGAAGTATGTTGTTTCTGAATGTACGTATGTTATATCATAGTAACTTGACAAAATGTATTTTATTAAATAGTCAGATCCGCGCGAATGAACAGCAAGACGGAAGCGGAAGTTCAGGATTAAGAATCGCGTTGTATAATCATATGAACGTTTGACGTTTCGGCTGAGTCTGCTCGATTTTACAGAGGATGCACTTAGTGGTTACAACTTAACCTAACCTAACCTAACGTTCGTATCAGTGTGATATAATTAACAATAAAAATAGTGATATTTGTCCACTAGTGATTATAATTAGGCGTACTTATTGATCTCTAAATAAAGCAGCATCATATTTGCGGCCAACAACATGAACAACGTACTTGTTTTCACTTTGAATGTGTTACTCCTCGTACTACCTTACGGGAATACGAAGAGATTCTTGAATGTGTATCCGCAAGGTAAAGAATATCATCTAACTAACGAGGAGGATGTCGGAACACCGCTTTTTCTTACACCTTTGATAGAAAGCGGGAAAATTGAGGAGGCACGAGGAAAGGCAGTTGTTCAACACAAAGAAATGGGCGACGTCAGCAGCTATTCCGGTTATTTGACAGTTAACAAAGAATACAATTCCAATCTTTTTTTCTGGTTCTTCCCAGCTATGGTAAGCAATATTTTAAGTTTTTTGTACATGTATATCACTAAGCAACCTGATTATCGTAAAAATTTTTAAAATATACACATATATCTGTAAGAAATATTTTCTGAAGACAAAGTTATTTTGCTAGATTTTTGTAATATTTTTCAAGTAATTACATGTAGGATATATTATTTTATTGTACTTAAAAATAGTCAGGTTTGCTGAAAAATAATTATTTGTATGCTATAGCATAATCCAAAGACTGCGCCAGTAGTACTATGGCTGCAAGGTGGTCCAGGAGCAACTTCTATGTTTGGTCTTTTCATGGAAAATGGGCCATTTATTGTAACTGCAAACAAAACTCTAACAATGCGAATGTATTCATGGAATATAGCACATAATTTAATTTATATTGATAATCCAGTTGGCACTGGCTTTAGTTTTACTGAAAACAACAAGGGATATGTCACAAATGAAACACAAGTAGGGAGAGATATTCTTAATGCTCTAGTACAATTTTTCCAGTTGTTTCCAGAATTACAAGATAATAATTTCTTTGTTACTGGCGAATCATACGCTGGGAAGTATGTACCAGCAACATCCTATGCCATAAAAAATTACAATATCAAAGCAGAGACAAAGATTAATTTGAAAGGTCTAGCCATTGGTAATGGATTATGTGATCCAGAAAACCAGTTGCTTTACAGCGATTATTTATATCAACTTGGATTGATAGATCGAAATGGAAAAGCCCAATTCCAAATGTACGAAAAGAAGGGCCGGGATTTCATTAAACAGAAGAAATACGTTGAAGCTTTTAACATTTTTGATACACTTCTTAACGGCGATATAAATGCCGCGCCATCTTTATTCCACAATCTTACTGGCTTGGACTATTATTATAATTATTTAACGATAAAAGAAGATAATGCCTCTAATTGGATGTATGAATGGATTCAAAGAAGTGACGTTAGGCGTGCTATACACGTAGGTAATAGCACTTTTCACGTCGAAACCAAGATTGTCGAAGAATATTTGACTGGAGATGTTATGCAATCTGTAACAGACCTCTTAACGGATCTGCTACAAAATTATAGAGTGCTGATTTATAATGGACAATTAGATATCATTGTGGCGTATCCACTCACAGAGAATTACCTGTACACTATGCAATGGTCCGGAGCAGAAAAATACATGAAAGCGCCAAGGAAAGTATGGATGGTTGGAGACAAAATAGCAGGCTATTCGAAAAGTGTTGACAATTTAACTGAGGTCCTCGTACGAAGTGCAGGTCACATGGTACCATCGGATCAACCGAAATGGGCATTGGATTTGATTACGCGTTTTACGCATAACAAGAAGTTTTGAAATATTATATGTAATTGCTGCATTGAACATATGTGATAAAAGCTTCGAGCTATATTGTTAATAAAATACTACAATTGCAAATATAAATGTTAAGTAACTTACATACGAATAAAATGTGCCAGAAATAATTTCTTCGTATATTTCGAAGAATTTAATTGGAACAAAAGCGAAAACATGAGAATAGATTTAGTTTTGTAGTAGAAAGAAGTTGGATTTTATTAATAAATGAAATTGCGTGTTTTGCTAATATTATACAATTAGAAATATGTAGACTTATAATAAATCATTCTACTTAAAATCTACTTCTTAAAATATTCTAATGTATTCTAATGAGAATACGCGATTACCTACGTAATTAGTATAAAACAGATTAACGCTTTTACAATACATTTTACATATCAACTGCAGTTGACATAGTATATATGATATGTATGAGATATAATTTCAGTCTTGTGTCAGTAATATTTCATGTTTGTTATTTTTATATCAATTTAATTTCTATTCTAAATGTTATAAAAAATTTTAAATTGTAAGTTATAGTAATTTTTGAATTTTCTATTACTGCTATTTGACAAAATAATAATCTCACTTATTTATATCACATTAAATTTAATCTAAATATGGCAGTAAAAACTGATCTACTATGGAAATGTTATTATGCCAATCACAATGAGGTATACCCGGTACAATTATAATCTTTAACCTTCCTTGTTTATCTAATGTTTTCAGCCCGATAGCGTCATCTTTATAAATAGATCTGTTGTGCATTTCTACTATTGTTTCATTGCTATCGTAATATCCAAAATGGCTACTTTGCCACGGTGTAATAACTCCATCATCTGGTCCCCCAATAAGTACCATTTGTTTCAGCTTAGTTAAGCCTGTTTTGTAATCAGAATTGTTGAAAGTGTTGACTTCGTTATTCACGTATGGTAAAAACTTGCTATACTTATAATACAGTTTCTGGAAGAAATGGAAGTATATTTCAATACACTGTAATAGATTGTAATGTTTTTAAATATGTAAAAAATAGATCATACTAACTTGATGATGAGGATCATTCCAGTAATTTCCGACACTAATGTGTTGTCCGATGTGCGAGTAGAAGAGTTCATAAGCAGTTTCGCAGACTAAATCGGGGAAAAATAAATGCAAAAAGCGTGCTGGAACCAAGATTTCACTGTTAGAACGAACTTCCTGCTTTTCTCTTCTACTTAGATTGTTATAATTTTACATACTTCCATATTGTCCTGCTTGCGGTGAGCTCAGAGAAATAAAATTTCTCACATTGTGCATAGGAAACCTTTGTAATATCGCTCTAGCTAATAAACCACCTTGGCTATAACCTATTAGGTTAATTCCTTCGGGAAACGCAGCACCTATGGAAATCACGTCGGTGCCTATTTCCTCTATCTGTTGCCACATCGGTTCCAGACTACTCCATCCCGCATATCTGGCGGTATTGTAGACTAAAGTTCCAGGATGCATCTGCAAATATATATCTCAAGTAAAAGAAGCAACCTTTGACATTTGCTTCGAACTGTCAATATTTAGCGTAAAGTAATCCAATTGATATTGCTATTGATAAGGGAACTTGCGTAAAATGTGCGCATTAAGAAAATGATAAGCGAGGTCACGATACATAATATCTTTATTCGAAAATAACACAGTACAATGTAACAATATTGTATCTATCGACATAAAGGAATATTATAGTATGCATAGTGATTCATGCGAAAGGGTTGTGGTATATACAAATCTAATGAGTTACGTTTACGTATTAAAGCTACATTTAGATATTAACAGTGATCTTTGTTTAGTCACTGTTTTGTCTTCTGCAGAGATTTTCATATAAATGCCTAGATCGCCAAGTCTAAAGAAAAGAAAAAGAATCGGGACAAAATAACATATGGGAGAAAATGGCGGGTATTTTTAATTCTCTCACCACTGTGCACTTAATATTTGAAATGATGAAAAAAGTCAATTGATATTCTTGTTCTTTATACCTCATGTGTCTCGATAAAACTGCAATGTACAATATTTTTCCTTAAAATTAGCTATATATTTTTCGACATCGGTCGATTCATATTGTTTTACTCCGCTTTATGAAATATTTTTTTTTGTTTTTAGAATATCTCAAAATGAAATATTTTATGTGTATTTTCCAATTGTTTCATCTAATATTTTAATACGCGTGTTGAGAATCTATTTATGTAAAAATTATAAAAAAAATAAGAAGTGCTTTCTTTCTATTTCTATGTCTTTCTGTTTCTTTGAACGTCTGATACTATGTCATATAAAAGAATTTTATAAGCATTAAAACATGCGAGAAATGTTTTATATTTGAATTATATATATGGAATATACATATTTTGTCTGAAAACATAACCTACACGAATTACCCTATACATATGTATATATATTCTTTTTTTTTGCCGAATATTGCATGCATACATTTATTAAACATGGTGCATGATTGAAAAATTGGTCTCATGAAAAAATTTGTCAAGTTGATGAGTTGTCATGATTATAAATATAGTGGCATTATAGATCTAGGCATTTTATAAAAATCTTTGTAGCTTGTCCCACCTCCTGGATTCTGTTTGTAATGAGGTCCATACTACTGCTTCCAGTGAGCACTCCATGGATAACAACTACAGCACGATATGATTTTGCTTCATTATAAAATAATAAGTAAACTAAAAGTAAGTAAGTATAAATCACAGGACGTCGGTTCGTCATTGCTACTTGGTGTTACGAGACTACTGTTCCCAGCAAAATCGAATATTTACTTTTGATGCATTCCTTGTAGCGCTACACCGTGTGCACTGTGAAGTAATTGGATGCTTTCAAATCATGTTGATAAAAGCGTAAGCAACCTTATCGCAGAATGATACTGGACTCGGAGACTTTTCTGTCTGTTGGTGTTTGCTTTCCTTCCGCAGGCATTGCACGAGATGTATTTTAAATATATCCGCTAGATGATGTGTGACACGTATAAGCATCTACATAAATTTTAGTACAATTGTTACTGTATCATATAAGATGCATCCATATATTCACATGTTTAAAATTGAAATTGAAAATCTTTCGATTTGCACCGTATGACCTAGATATCAGGGATTGCAGTTGTTGATTTTAGTTATTGTTTGTAACAATTCTGTATTGGACTATCGCACACACACACACACACACATACATGCATCGACAATCTCAAATCAGTTGAGATTCCAATGGAAACATTATTACACGAGTATGGGAACGATGACTCCGCGGTCAAAGTGGTAGCTGATGCTGAAGGATTTAAGGGTGGGTGAAAGGGACGGTGTTGACGGCCGAAGGAATCCAATTGCATCTCGAAACGGTGCGTTGCAGAATATAGTAGGTCGTCACCCTAATCCTTACGGGCTGCCGTGTGCTAGGTGGCGGGGCACATGGTATTTCCCGAGCTCGCTTCAGCCATACATCACCGTACTCTGACATCGCTCCCGCTTTCCCCCAGCCGGTAGACGAAACTCGTGCTCTGTGCCGGGGCGACGGATGCCGAGCGCATTGTTTCGACCAGCGTCATCCATGATTATCACACGGCTTTACTCCTTGAAGGAGCAAACCCTTTTGTCATTTGCGCCGTTACCCCTCCGGAGCATTGATACACTCTTGGAATTCGAGCATTATCGCCACTTGTTTCCAGTTATACCGAAGTGGTACTTAATGGAGTTTCCTCGTAAGCAAAGCGCTCCTTAATTTTAATGCCCCGCTTCAATATGCTTTAAATTACACATAGTTAATTATAGGTTTTAAAAATGTATACTTAGGATATGTAGTGGCATTATTGTAATCTCCTCGTATTGTTACAACTGTCTAAGGATTTTCTTGTATTGATTGTAATTGTATGTGTGCGCGCGCGCGCGCGTGTGTCTGATAATTTTGAAAATCGAGTCTTCCCGTCTGTTTCGCATGGATTGTTGTGTTTTCTATCCATAGTATGGTGAGATGTAATCACACTTTGGACCATGATAACACGGTTTTGCCAAGCGACATGTTTTATTGACGGGAGATTATTGTGTAGTCACATAGAAAATCTTGTAAGGAAGATGCCAGTGACCCCCATAGAGTGACCCATTCGAAACTCAGAGGGTGTTTTCGACGATCAACGCGTCATCGAGATGAAGTAATTTATGGGAGTGACAGCGGGGGGATACTTGATGCTTAAGGACGAAATTAGGGCTGTCGTCTTCAGCCACATCACGTCTAGACTGTGACGATAGCAATGAAAGGGGTGTCGTTTCTCTAATCGATTTTATTAGATTCTACGAATCAAATGATTCCTTGGCATCTCGTGGCTCTTCATCTAGTTGAGTGGAATTGACCTGATCTCGATTCATTGTATCGCATTATAATCCTATCACACATATGATCTGTATCCCTTTTGATGAACCCCTCTTCATAAAAACGATCATAGACCTAGGAATATCGTTTTATTGCAGTGTGTTATGCATTTTCTACATCAAATCATCAAATACACAATGTTTGGATAATTCAAGCCAATGCCATAATTCTATATTTTACAACAAAATCTACCATCTACTTACCCGCCGCTTTATTCCCTCGCAACAGTCTATACGGGGCCTGGATAGCGGTACGCCGCCTGACCGTTGCAAGAAACCGAAGAATATGACAGAGAGACGCAGAGCGAGAGCAAAAACAACGACATGAACGCGGCGCAATTTACAACAAGGACCGTTACGGACGATTGCGAGGTAAGAGCGAGTTCCTGTGAGGTCAAAGGACGAAGATTCCTTCATCCACTTTCTGCGGTATGATACTCGGTGGTGGTTGCGCGCCTCGGTTAACACTCGGCGGACTAAAATAGCGAGCCAGCCGACCGCGAATATCCTTGATTAAACGCAAAAAAAAGCCCGGAGACCTACCGCTCGCCTTGCGCTCCGGCCGTGGCTGCGTTTTTTCGCCACCCTCCGCCATCACGACGGTCGGGCTTGAGCGCGGAATTGGATTGGCCGCCTTTTCTCTCCCTCGCATCCCACCCCCGACTATGTCTCTCTCTCGCCCTCATCGGACGGAAGAAACACCGGTGGTTTCAGGGCATCGGGGGGACTCGATTAGAGCAGCTTGCGACGACCAGAAGTACCTGGCCGCACGTTTCCTCCGCGTTCCGTCCGCGCTCGTCCTTCCACCTAAATTGTTGTACACTGTCCAGAGAGTAATCCCTCGTGATAAAAGGTACACTGGCTCGTTCGGGTCGATCTTATGCCGTTGAGAATGTGTATATCTTTAATCAAGTACTTGTACTGCAACCGTACTTCAACCGGCCGCGAGCCTTGCTCGTTATGCACGGCCGGGGGAAAATGTTAGTATCTGCAATTAAACATGATTAGATCACGAACGTCCTCAATTTAATTGCGATAAATTTAAATGCGCGCGGTAACCGATGAATTGCACGATAGCGCAGCGTTGCTATTCATTATGCCGACTGCTTAATTTTATCACTCTCCTCTATTCGTTTGAATATTTATGTCAAAGTTCCAAAATTGTTGATAGCACAGTAAAGTACGACGAGTGTACTTTAATGAGGCTTCTTATAATGCGCTTTATAAGAGCGTCAATTGAGGTAGCATATATGTATATAGTATAGCGACTTTTTGAATTTTTCTTTAATGTTTAGTTTCTCTTGTGCAACTATCGTAAAAACAATGCAAGTGTAGATAGTGCAAAAAGCCAACGACAATCCTTTTCTTCATTTTGGGATGCTGTAATTTATAACTTCAACTTTGTACACATGTCGGAGAATTTCTTCTGAAGTTCTATGACTCTTGCGAGAGAAATTCATGCGCGTTCACGTATGCAGTTAGCAATACAGTACACAGTTTTGTAAATTTAAATGCGTACCACACACATGACGAATGAACGGCTGGACCGTAATGTTCGCAAAAATATTCAGCAACTGCGACGAGATGCCGCGCCCGTGCGGCGGCATCCTTTTTTCCACTTCGCTGAGAAGAGAAATAGGCAAACAATAGAGTAGGTTTCTCAACTTCTCTAGAAGTCTCGTTCGAAGGTGTGAATTCTTCTGTTATCTGTAGACAAGTTGTATCGAATCAAATTAATCAAATCATATAATTTATTCTTCCAAATTTATCAACGTTCTTTGCTAATATTGACACGACAAAAACGATCTTTCGCTACCGGATATGTTATATATCCGTTACAAGGTCATTGAAATACCAACGAATACTTGTTAGATAAAAATATGAAATTCCTTCTGAAAGTAACTGCTACTAATTATGTTTGTAAAAAATGTCATTAATTTTCCAGGAAGAGTCAAAGTGCGATAAAATTTTAGCAAAGGTAAAGCCATACATTGTTGCTCCGTCTAGCAGAGTTTATTTCCAGCGGGGAAAACATCGAGGTGCCTTCGTCGGAGGATCGACTGGTGAGCCTGGGCCGCTTAAAGCCACCCTCCGCCCGGTAAGTACAGAGAGACGGGAGACGGGAGAGAAGACGAAGTGGGTGGTACGGTGTCGCAGAAACGGCCTGGAGATTAGCGTTAATTACAGAGTTGAGCCGTGCCGGGGTTGGGACGGGGCGCTAGGTATTTGTCACTCGGCACTGCTCTCGACTCCCGCTTCTCGTTCTGAATATTAATAACCCCACCGTCCTTCGTGCCACCCCCGCTGCGTCCCGCAGCCCGTTGCTCCCGCGACACCCGATGAATTGCGCGGCAGACGACGCTACTCATTATGCTGACTGCTTGATTTCATCATCCGCGACGGCACGAAAAATTAATCGTCCCGCTATCGTGATCAAGGATAAGGAATCCCGTCGGTATTAACAACGCCGTTCGTCTTACGTCCTCGACGCGGATCTCAAGTAAAGCTCTCTTTTCTATTAATACATTAACGAAACTCCGACGCACGCCGGAGCTTTCTTAAGTCGCTCTCAAAAATCCCGCGCGTTACAACGCGCGTAATGCGTTGTTGCGCGAGATACAAGGTAGCCGGCGCGAGCGAGCTACTGGAACCATCAATCTTTTACACTTGTCAGAAAATTTGAACTCTTAAGGGTTGAAGCCAGCACAGCATCTCGTCTCTTCCTCTTCTCCCTCAGAAATAACCGTTTTCTGAAAATTGAAGGGTCGCACTTTCGACTACGGCATTTCCTCCTTCTCCTTCTCCTCCCACAAGCGATGTCGATCAATCGATATTGCCCATCCCCGTCCTTTCTGCGGTCGGTCCCTCGATGGTGGTCCCATTCCCGCGCAAAACGCTCAGATATTCAAAGTCGAGGAATAGTTTATTCATGGCCGGCTCCGAGAACTTAGAAAGATATTGGAAGCGCCCCGGGAGAGAGAGTAAAAGATGGAGTAAGGGAGAGAGAAAGAGAAACGGAGAGAGAGAGAGAGAGAGAGAGAGAGAGAGTGTGTGTGGGAGAGAGGGATAAAGAGGTAGAGGGTGGAGGTCAGGGGTGCAGAGGAGGTACAGGGATAGAGACGGACCAGGAGCGAGAGGGCCCGAGTGACGGAGGAAGACGAGCGATATTGGTCGGACGGAAGTGTCCCCTCGGGAAAACGGGAGGAGCGTCGTCTCGTCCCCGATCCGATAAAGCGAAAGAGGAACCCCCCTGCGGCATCGCCACCACCGCCACCTCTGGTACGGCCACGTGACAGCGAGTCCGCCAATAAAATTCAAATAAACTCCGATCGTGCATACTAAATTATCACATCTTCCATTACCCGGCCGCGTGTCCATCCCAGAACGAC